CACCATTGAGGCCCAGCTTTAAGTCCCGGCTTGGCCCTGGCTTTAAGTGCATTTTGTTTCCAGTCCATACTCGCTCTCACAGGTTTTCTCTGGTTTCCTCCTGCCTCTAAAAACTGGACCTTCTTCCTAACTCCGTCATGTGATGCTGATTAATAAAGGTTAAGAATAAACGTATAGTTACTGGCACAAATAGCTTTAGTAGCTGAAAGCGCCATTAAGACAACAACCGAGTCTGGCACACTCTCTAGAGGACGGCCAGAGAGTCTGGCCGAAACGTCGAGTTAACACTTACTGATTCTTCTAAGAACCACACCTCATCCAAAAGAGATTTATTCTATGGTGTACTCACAAGCAAAAATCTCATGTACCTTCCACCATGCAAAGTTTCAAGTCTTAATTGCCGAACCCAACAATACCGTCTTGCCCACAATACATTCTGATTTACAGAGATGCTAGTGAAAACAGTCAAGGTGTATGATGTTAGGTTTTGATATGATCCCCTTTCGGGGCTCAAAGGTATACTAATGAACAGAGGCGTAATTAAGTAGGTTGACATTTGGTAGGGGGAACCTGAGGGATGCGGGCATTATTTCAAGGGTGCACAAAAGCTGATTAATTGCGGCTCGTGCATATTTTATTATACGCTGTGTACATTTCAAAGATTCAGTGTGGGAATACCCGGGAGCATGGACCTCCATTGGGGCACGTGCCCCAGCCCTGTGCGTCCCTCCCCCCACATTAACATCTCTTCTAACTAAAAGCGATGATTTCTGCACAGTGAAGCTGAATAACGAAATACCCTTCTCTTTCTTACAGTGTAGTTACAGTTGTTTAATTATTGCCCGACAGAGTGAATTGATTTACAGTTTCGCAACGCTTCTCTTTCACACTTGTTAAATGTAATGGATGTTCAGTGAACTTGAAGCAATCACCCACGAGGCATCCCGCAAGACAAATGCACGTTCGGTTCACGCTGCAGAAACCCGCAACAGATCTTTGTTTTGCTAGGTCAAAAGCACTTGTTTTGGCCAGCCATTGTTGCAAAACTATAGGTGGCCGCACGTACAAAACCAAAAGAACAGTTTATAAAAAGTATTAAAAATCTTATGCAAATATTAAAACACTATTACAGTAAAATAGTAGATACATGTACATGTATTTGTATTGACTGCAAAATAGAATTGTCTCCCAATTTATAAGACAGATATGTAAAATGGGCATTTTGAAGCAGAAATTGTTGCCAACCAAGGCTGAATTTTCTGGAAACGTTATTGGCACAATGGTGGTCAAAATTTGTGGTGGTCTAGAAATTAGAAATGAAAGTGCCCGAATCTGAGTGTGTGTGTCTCCGGGGGCAAAGGACCCTAAATCAAAAAAAGATTGGTTTTATGATGAGAACGGTTAATTTTCGGGCCTATTTCATTTCCGTCTTTGAAAAAGCGTGCAAAAGCTTCCAAATTTAGCAATTCCTTCAGAAAGGCCATAAAAGGCTACCTAAAAAAATCCATTTTTAGGCCCCCAAAACAAGCCCCCTCCCCCCGTATTTACTTCTGGGCCTGTCCTTACGCAAGTACCACATGAAGACTGGATGATAAGCAAACTTAATGTGATACCATCACAAGATGTTAGATCTTCTACCCGGCTAGGCTACGTTCACTTCCATGGTTGAACATGCATTAAAAAGTCATCAGGTACATGATGTGTGAGTAAGGTGTCACCTACGTACACATCATTTAGGCACATATTATTAAGAATAATAAGCTGAATAGTCCTGTACGTAGATTGTAAACAAGTTTCGGTGCATAAATTGTGCAAGACACGGGACAGACGCAGGGGCAGATCCAAACCAAATTTTCGGAGGGGGGGTAGGCAAACTGTTTTTCGGGGTTCAAAAGCTTTGAATTTTGTATTGCCTGTCTGAGGGTTGATGTTACAATTTGGTGCTTTTTACACGCTTCTGGAAAGCAGGGGGAAGGATAACAGATCAAAAATTAGATATCTCTCATTTATTGTCAAAAATGTTTTGGGGCTTCAGACTATAGTGAGCAAGTTGTTTAGAAAACCTTGACGAATACCTAAATTCATCAGGTGTTGAAGACACATCAAATAAAGGGTCTTAATCTTCCATTTTTTTTCAATGTGTGGTGTGTTAATAGATGGATTCAAGAGATATTTCCATTAATTAGGTTATTATACGGCTTTTTGGAGATACCTTAGTTTTGACTCTAAAATGTTTTTTCCATTTTGAAATATTGAAGCCATCTTGCTTCCTCCCATTAGCAGGGGGTAACGAGGGCCATGCCCTCCTCTGACCCTCCTCTGAGTGAAAAAACCTCTTTTTTATTAAGGAGAGAAAGGTGATTACTTTTCTTTGTCTTCCCAAAGCGTGGAAAACGCCCCCCATTAGCCTTATCCCTATAAAGAAAATCTGTACAAGGTCACATAAACAAACTTGAAGTTCTGCTTCCCCCGCTAAATGTGCCTCGGAAACCATGGTTCGAGTCTGTCCATCCTTGGTCCCTTAGTTATTGCACTGCGTTATTGCCTGGGCGTCTCGAGGTTACCCATGTGCACCCGGCACACCCTGTTACAAGCCGGGGTACTGTTGGCAAGCACTCGGGGCAGAGGCCATATCTGCCCCGAGCTGAAGTGCACTCTAATCGCCAAAAAAAGGACAGGTGGTTATAAGCGGGTTCTTGCACGCGTTCTGCGCGTACGCAAAAATCATACACGTACATGCCGGGATAAATTAGTTACGCGCACTCAGCGTGTTCCGCGTCAAACGCGCATATACTTGGGCGCCTCATGGCGCGCAAGTATATGCGGTGAGTACATTGATCTCCATTATATGTAATGGATAAAATGGAAATCAATGGGTGAGTACCATTGATCTCCATTATAGAGATCAATGCCAAAAAATACCAAAAAACACGCCCTCTTATGTTCTGCTCGGAGCGAATAACTTGACGACTAATCGAATCAACCTCGTCCCTGAGGATGACTTCACTTGCTTTATTTCTTACAGCCTGGCTTCCAGTACATATAGTAACTTTGGAAAGGAATTTTTCTTCTTGTGTCATAGTTACTTTGTGTTGCACCTTTGACGTCTGTGTTTATATGTTTGCTGTGAATATTACGTCAGCTTTCCCTCTTTAGATGATCCGCAATTACTACTTTGATTGTAATTAGGAAATGTGATCCAGGGTATTAGCTGGATAAGATTTTAACTTTAAAAAAATGGCGTCATGTCATGCCGCGAAGAAATTACTCCTTTATATATTAGACACTGGAGGGCGTTAACTCCATCGAATACTTTCACAGTTTACAGCTCAATTAAGTAGGCGACAGGGGGAAACAATAAATTCCTCTGTAAAAGCTCTAGCTTACACTTTGCCAAGCGATATGTCACATTGACTTTTGCTTGAAAACCTTTGCGAAGAATTCGAAAGTACGAGCACCTGAATTGTCGGAGTCGTGAGCTCAACGTATTGCCCCAGGTTGCCGCAACCTTTTTGGCAAATAGAACAGAAAGGGCCAAAACATTTTCAGAAACGCTTCCAGTACCTCATTTAAGAGGGGAGCTCTTTTACAATAAGAAAAATCAGTTCAGACAAAAATAATTGCCCTTTTCCTTCGGACTCAACCTCGATACGCGCTACTGTTTAAGAAAATTACATGCCTTCTGTATACATAACCATCCAGTTTTTTTTTCTTGTAGGAAAACTGAGACAATTCTAAAACGACTACATCTCTTTATCTGATTAACCCTGAAAGAGCTGGGGAAATCCGGCCCCTATTTGTCCCGATATCACCGCAGTACATTTTTTTCAGGAGATGAGTTTTTAGAGTAACTCTTTGCGGTCATTTTGACACCAAATTCTGTGAAAACTGGACATACCGTACTGGCTCAGTGCGCATGTCCCGAGATGGGTCAGCCCAAAACGTGGTGATTGAGTTCAAACTTCACATTAATTGTAATTACCCATCCAGAGCCTTTACACATGCATGCCAAGTTTCCAAAAAATCGACCGAGGCACAGCCGAGTTCGGGGGGGGGGTCCATAAAATCATCTAAACCTGTTTCCGGGGGGGGTCGGGATTGGATCACACAATGTCAGCACCGCTAGTAGGGGATGTTTTCTTCAACTCGAGGTACGACGGGCAGCAAAACTGCACACTGCACTGTGACGCCCCGTACGTTTATACCGAGGCACCGCGGGCTTAGGAGTGATAATTTCTGAAATAAAGTTCCTCCAAAAGTACTCAGTTTACACCGACCAAAACATAGCCAGTTAATATCGATTTTTTCCCCAGAAAAAGCTGCTGGATGCGGTTTTTTCGCAAATTATTCTGACGCCCATAAAATGTTTAAGGAGGCACAACTTTTGAGTTTAGACATCAGTACTTTATTTTTTCTCCATGAGTTCTTCTGTTAGCCGTTTTTCAACTGCCCTGGTAAAATTTTGTAGCGCGTCAAGACGTCAACCGGTTCACATACAAAAGATTCATATAGGCGTCACCAGTTGCCATTTGTGTTTTTGTCAATTGTTTCGATATAAAGGAGTTGCTAGTTGGGGTTCTGTAACCTCATCTCTTTTGTAATGAGTCAAGTTGGATAACACCCCAGCTCTGCCCCTTACGTGTGGGGGGGATCAAACATGATATTTAAGAAATAAATGTTTAGTGTAATTTGTGATGGAACATTTTCAGTTTCCCATTCACTTAAGTAGAATTTCTTTCTATGTGTATTTAATGATTCATCTTTTGAAAGTGTTGGGCTGTAAGTTACAACATAAACACGAACCATTCTGATATCTCCAAAAGTTCTGAGTTACGTGTGATTGACCAAAATCAGTCTATTCGCACGAAACTTCTCACACGGTCCTTGACAATATCATTAACTTCATACATTTTTTCCGAAGCATCTTTGAATTCTTCCTATAACATTCACATTAAAGGTACATTTTCTTCTTTTTTTTTTTTGCAAACCAACTAGAAACCTTATTCAAAGTTAGAGTCTATTATTTTGCCGATGAGTTCAGAACTTGGGAAATCCATTGCAATGATCCCAAGTTTGTCTTTTCCGATGCGCCTGCCTAAGAAGTCACAAAGAAATTTGTTGATCTTACGGGCAACTGCGACTGGCCAAGCAAAGGTTCCTGTTCCACTGCTGTATGTGAGGTACATAGTGGAAGGCGGTCCCCGTATTGCTTTTTCGAGATGACGTTTTACACTTTCCCGTTTTCTGGCGATATCCTTTGGCAGGAGAGTACTAACATCGAACATATCCTCAATATCGAGTTTAGCATAAGGTAAGCCAAACGTAGCCAGTCCATAATAGTCCCGGAGTATCATCACTTTGCCTCTGATTTCGCTCATGGTGGGGAACGTTTGTCCGCTCCAGAACTTCGCTGATGGGTAGCGGTCAATGTACATTTGTACTGCCACTGGGAACAATTGGGTGTTGTACTCCGGGATGTACTCCGCCCTGACGCGCATGAAAATGGTTTCTTGAGAATGGGCGTCCAAAAAAGCGAGTGTAGCCTTCAGGACGTCGTCGAAATTGGCATGTTGGTAGACGTAGCTGTGGTACACCACCAGCTGGTCGTTAACATGTCGGCAGCGGACGTCGACGAATCGAATACCTGCCTCGTACTGTCGCGTCAAAGACCACGTCTGGCACTGCAAACTGCACCCGCCGTACAGACACAAGCTCTCGTGTGTTCCCGGTATCGACAAACAGGTCATCGAACGGTCATCACTTACATCTGACATCCAGTGCGATGGAGGCCTATAATCCCTACGAATACCGCTCTCGTTATGGCAGGGACGACAGATGCACGCTCCCATGCTAGCTGCTGCTGCTGGGTTGCACAACAAATGGCGAGCTCCGATAATTATTTATGCTCTCGGTGTTCATGTACACGCTTGAGGGATGTTCAACTGGTATTCACACTTCGTGTTCGAGTTCATTATCCCGAGTCAGGTGTAAAACGCGAAGCTTTCCACGGTATCCCCTCAGGTTAAATTGAGGTCGTTGATGCGTCCTGGAATGGTTCGGTTATTGTTGAGGCAATTTCCCGTACGAATATCATCAGCATTGTGACCAATGTCGCCTCCTGGGTCTGTGTGTCTTGTTATCTGATGTCATGCCTGAAGAGAGGTTTCCTGTGTGATGACATATTGTCAAATGATAGATCAGGCTGTCGATTTATGGAAGCAAGCTGCGGGTACAATAGTATGCATGATTATGGAGGTAGAAATAGACGCCCGTGGTTATTATATTGGTACGGTGAAGCTTTGGTGCGTCCGGCACGTAGTGTAGTATTACTCGTAGGTAAACCTTTTAACACAGATGGCGGGTCTCTGATATACGGAAGCTTATTGCTGCCCAACGTAAAGGACCTAGTATTACCTCGTTTAAACGACATGGTTATTACATGTCGATATCTCGTTTAAACGAGATAAAATAATTTTTTTCGCTTTGGTAGCGGTACGCTTCCGCAAGACGCTTCCGTACTAATGCCAATCATGCCGCGGAGCAGTGGGGTAACTGGGGCTAATTTCGAGGGGGGGGGGAGCACCCGGGTTGTACACATTTTTTTCGAGGGGGCACCACAGGAAAATAGGCTGCAGCTGCTTAGCCTGCCGGAGATTATTCAGAGATTTTAAATGGGGAGGTACCCGTAACTATACGGAGGAATAAGAACATGCATTGTGAGAGTGTCTAACCATGGGGGAAGAAAATCCTTTGTGGTGTCCGTACAATTTAATTGGTTACTAGAGCTCATCGAGCTCAGTGTTCTGACCTGAAAAATCAGAATTTCTGTCATTAAATTTGTGTCAGTTGTTTGTCTTTGGTATTAAAATGAAGTCAGTAAGTCTCTTCTCTCATAATTTTAATAAATTATGAAGCTTCGTTATTTGAACGGACTGCTTTAAATCACGTTGTTTCCTTTCTCGCCTCTAGATCATTCTGTTAAACTCTGTTGACTGTCAGGTAACAACGAATCGAATGGCTGGTCACTGATATTCTGTCTGGAGAAGCTTCTGAATTTGTGTGTGTATTCTACAAGCTGATTCTGGTCTTCACTCCATAGCTCCGTTGTTTTGGGTACACGACCTTGGAAGTGGCCAAGGCTAGGTAGATGTGTCGGTCATGGGTGGCTTTAATTTGTTTAGTTAGGGCATTGGGGTGCTTGGTATACTATTCTCTTCAATCTCAGCGGCATTCTTTTTAAAACTTGAACAAGGAAAATCTTCAAATTTTCTTTATTATATACTGCAGTATCGGATCACTCCTGTTGATGAATTGGACACCTAGGCGCACCCCATTAACCAGATGGAAGCACCTTGCAGGTCTAGAAATTGGAGAGAGGTATTGAACGCGCACTTGTTCCAAGCAGCGTAGTCGCCAGTTTCAAATTGCTGCACAAACTACATGTAATATCCCTGTCCCGCCCCTGTCCATCTTACGCCCTGACATATAACACATCTAAAGTCGGACCACCTTCTGAATACAATCAGCAGACAAGCAAAATGAACATGGAGTTTTCCAATTACAGTCATTTATTCCACTGCCTGTCGATACAGATTCTGTGCACACACCAACGCTATAACACGGACAGATCCTGTTAAATGGTCTCTTTTGACATTCTGAAAATGGGCTGAAGGGGTCACTGACAGTTCAAAGAGCTTTACAAATGTACCGTCCCTGCTGGGAACCGGGGTTCTTTTTAAGCTTTGTCCTTATACATCTCAATATAAAATTGCATTATACATAATTTTGTATGTACCAAATTTATACAAACAAGTTTCACTTTCCTTCTTTTGTAGCAAAGTCGTTTACCGGTATTGATTGTTTTAAGTGATTCACTCACTGCAAGTCAACTTAAACGTTCAATTTAAGAGGTGTGGTTTCCCCCACAATTTTCGTTGCTATTTACGTTTGTTCACATGATTAAAATATAAATAAAACGCGAGAAACAGTGCTCAGTGAATATTCATGTTGTTCAGTGCAACATTGATTTAACACAATGCTATAAAGGGAAATGGTTCTTGACAACAGCGCCCTCGCATAAAAAGCATGCAGTTACAAATTCCTGATTCAACAGAATAAAAAAGGAGAAAAATAAATGAACAAATTACTGACTAACGAAGTACAAAGTAGAGAGCAACACTAATACGATCATCAATGGCACAGTTGTACGATCGAGTCCAGGATGAAATCGTATCAATTCCATACAGACTCGACTCATGGCGCTCTACTCTTTGGTGTAGCAAAAGCCTCAGACACGTTTCCATCAAACAAGGGGGCCGGGGTGAAAAAATACTCTAGGCCAAAATATACATATATTTCGTTCTCAACTACATCTATACATAATAACTAAAGGGGGGGGGGAACTTACGGGTGCTTGTGCAATGTTTCCAATGCCACAATAAATTCTAAGCCTCTTGCGAAGGAATAGATCTCTACGAAATAACTCTGAAAAACCCTACTTTTTGGCAAATTGAAGCATTAAATAAACTTATAATGGTCCCTGATTTTCCGAATACACATAATGTGATCTCATTACCGTTACAGGATGAAGCAAAGATAAAACGAAAAACTGAAAGAAGTATCAATATTTTACTTTAAAATACTTCAGGCAATGAAGTCAACATTTCTATTTATTAGTAAACAACAAAAAGTTTCATCCTTTATTCCAAGTCCAAGGATGGATTCACACCGGGGAGATGTTAAACTTTTTTAGAGTTTTGGATTTTTTTGCCCTGCTCGACGTGTATTATAACACTGTATACTCAGTCACTCAATTAACTAAGATCTCCCTGGCGCAAATCCATCCTTGGAAATAGTTGTTCGCGGTACCCACTGCTACATCTGACTTGAACCAGCCAGCCAATATCTACAGGCTCGGTGGTCGAGTAGTTAAGACGTCTGCACTAAGCAGGAAGTTGTGGGTTCTAGTCCCACCCAAGTACGCAAGTATGTGATTGGGATGAAGCAGCGTTTTTCATGAATGGCCAAGTCAATAACCAGAATGTCTGAAAATACGATCCGATGCATACCCCAATCAACTTCAATTTTGATGTAAAAATGAACAGAGAGATTTCTCTTTGGATAGGTCTGTGTGGGGATGGCACCATCACTGGACAGTTTCTTTGATGGCAATCTCAGTGGTGAATGTTACCTTGAGATTATCAACGACAAAATTGTACCGCGGCTATAGCAACACTTTGAACAGCACGGTGGAATGTTTCGCCGCTTATGGTAGGCCCTGGACAGGGCTCCAGCTCATCGTCGGATCATCGTAAGGGAAAGGCTATAAGAGATGTTCAACACTAGAGTAATTGCGATCAACCATGAGATTGAGTGGCCACCAAGATTCCCTGACCTCAACCCCTCTGATTTCTTTTTGTGGGGACAACTTAAAAACCAAGTTTACAAGTCGCCACCTCAAGACATCAATGACCTACGAGCCAGAATCGTCGCTGCAGTTGATACCTTAAGAGGACGGAGAGAGGTAATCAGGAATGCATTGAGAGCGATGAGAACCGGAGCTGAATCTTGTGTTAAAAGGAATGGGGGGGGGCATGTCGAAGGACAATGGGGTTAGGTCGAGACAGGCATAAGCATCCAAATGTTAAATCACTGAATAAAAATTGGGTGAAGGACATACTGGTCTTTTTTCTCTTTTTTTAGGTATGAAAACTGTCAGAGACCATGGTGAATGTGGTGCAAGACCAGTTCTGACATGGTTGATTGAACAGCTTTGTGCTTCGTCGCCTGTGACGCTAAACTAGATTTTGTGGTGTCATAAGAAAAAGGACGTCATTAGTTAATAAATCGTGGTTGCTAATTTCCAAAATATTGAGCCATGTCCAAGAAATGAAGAAATTAATCTCGATTTCCTTGTATTTTTTTGGGGGGGGCTGGAAAATTTTTGAAAATGTTGCCATTGATGAGGAAAGGTTGGGGAAGTGGAGAAACTGCTGGATAGTTTTGAACAAGGATTGGGGAAAACCGCTTCATCATAAACATTTATTAAAATGAAATAAAACTGCATTTTGAAAAGCACATCTTGGGGATAACCTTAGGTTTAAGACCCTGTGCAAATTTTTTCTGTTGTATACTTCTGCTCTACGCTATAAATACAAATGTAAAATATACACTCGATCCAGAAAAAGGCTATATCTACTTGCTCTGAAAACATCTCTCTGAAATCGTCATTAATGACACAGAGGAAAATAAACATACAAAAGCAAGCCCGCTTGGCTTCACATAAATTGAGAAAAACAAATGAACATGAGCTGTGGTCCACGATTTCAGTGTGTCCGTCTTGCTTTCAAAACATGTTTTCTGATCTTCCGAATTTTCGGAACAAAGGTATCGGTGCATTTTACATTTGCTCTGCTCCAACTGTATAGAAAAATAAATTCTTGCCATAGATATCCGATTCTCAGTTGTATGTTTCATACTTTTTATTTTCATATCTGATTTTAATTTGATTCTGTTTTTGGTTTCACCTCTTCATCCTTCAAGTAACCACACTATACTTCTTACTTGTGTGGAATGATCTGTAGTTTTAGCCCTGTGATGCAGCGGACCCAAATGGGGAATGTGCAGATTTACAAAGCTAAATGTTTAGGCTTACAATACACCCAAAGTCTCAGAGCTGATTTTACATTGTGCAAATGGCTCTTTCACCCAAACTGGGCTCAATCTTCCAATTTCAATATGATTTTAGACACACCCTCGTGAGTTTAGGGTTAATCCTTTGATGTTTGTATCCTGCAACACCCAAACCTTTTTGGTTTTTTACAATACTGCTGACTCATGATAAGCATCATCGTATCTCCAACCCTGGTCACTCCACTACGTGTCATCACAATCGTCTTGGCTGCCTGCTGATGAGGTCACCCCTTCATCAAACAACGGTGGCGCGGAATCCTGGAGTACTTGTAGCGACTGATGCACCTGATATCAGCAAAGAGCAATAAAAAAGGAAACAGGTGTCTCATGGCAGTAGTTGGATGTGGAACAAACCACTTGTCTGCAGTAAAGTCACATGACCTTTAGTGGATATCAACCCCATAGCAAAGTGTGCTTTAAGTGTTGTTTACCAAAAACAAAAGCTAATTGTCAGTATAGTGCTCAGCATATCAGTAATCTGAGTACTTTTATCGACCGGTGGCTTTCTTTCTGGTAAATGACACCTGACACACTTAGCTGTGCGAGGATGCTTTGTTTGTTAATATTTAATACCCAATAGTGGTCACGTGACTTGGTGATGGGTGCAATCGGTCTATACCGTGGGTCACATTCACCAGTGTGCATGACAGGAGCCACAGGATCAGTGATCATGGCTTCGTTTCTGGCCTCAGCTTCAGGGGATTTGTTGGGCATCCAGCAAACACAGGTCGGTATTCTGTTTCATTGACATCATATCCTTTACACACTGACAGGTTCTGTATCGTTCTTCAGTCAAACGGTCTGAACTCTAGAAACTGTTGGTGAGCAGGCCTGGTACACAGGGCTCATGGAAACAACTCATAAATAGACTGAGTGCAGGACAGCACCAAACCAGATGCACCAAGGGCCAACCTCATCGACGAATGGGGCAGTGCATATGATTTTGTTATTCTTATAACCAAGAGAGAAATTCAAATCACTTCAAGAAAATATGAAATAATAAATCATTTCAAGACGATATTTTGGGCCTTGCTTGTTACCAAAAAAGTTGTCAATGTAGTGCAAGAAACTTGAGAAAAATTTTAACAGGGTAAAACATGTGTTTGCCATTCAAAAAATTGCAACCCCGAAGCCGCATGTAAGATGACAACAGTACCTCCTATGCCGTTTCCCAATGCATTTTTTTACAGCACAATGAACAGACTATGGTGGAGTTAAAGTGTCTACATAATGTTGTCATGGTGCAGGCTCTTGAAGTGTGCATGGGTGGACGGGTGGCTGATATTGATCTTGTCTACTCTGGTTTTTGAAGGAATTTAATGTGGGCTGATTTTCTGATGGGGTCACATAGAAGGTTCCATTCAGAGATTGTCCATGCGAGATTGTCCAGAGCGAGGGGAGGTACATGTAGTTGTTTTTATTAGCCTGGATGTTTTGAAGATTAAACATACATGTACTGTTGGTTTAGCTAGTGGTTAAGTGATCACTGGATGGATAATTTTTGAAGAGTTTAAACAATGAAGTGCGTTCTCACTTGAACGGATTACATGTCTGCAACAGTTTTGTGCACATTTGTTTCAAAGTTGATTCTGCGTACTCTACTGATTTATGCTTTAAAAAGTTTGGCACGGATGGACCAATTCTGCCCCCCCTCCAAAAAATGAAGAACCAAACATGCAACATGCCTACACTTGGCCTTCAATGCACATTTATGAAAGGGCCTACCAGTGGCTGATGATGTCGTTGTGATCAAAGAATCTAATGTGCATGTCTTTCCTCGGTAGTCCTTACCCGTGCAAGAGTCCTGAGGTTATCAGCAATTGTCTGCCACATCTTTGAGATAAGCTGGCTGTGGGCAGCTTGTTGAGACCACCATAAGCTACTCCACCTGCCAAGTAACATCGGCAGAACAATGTTCTTAACAGTGTTTTTCACAGCAAAACAAAATCAACATCTAGTGCCCTGGAAACCGCATTCTCATTTGAAGTCTTAGTATTTGGCCAGTTGAGAGAGACTGGCGTCCTGCTTGGAATTGAAAATTTCAAGACATAACTTCAGAAGGTTCTAGAATCTAGACACTTCCATGGTACTAAAACCTACAGCAAAATTCTATCATCCGTCACAGACTAAATGGTGTCTGCTCCTTCATTGGAATCCAGGCAACTGGATTTAGTTGAGCCATGGTCAAGTGTCTTGGTTAAGCATTTGAATCTGACATAACAACCCTGTAAATCTTTCACAGGCTTCAGACATGCTTTGGTACTTGACATCTGGTTTGTAATTCTAGGAAGTCGTTTAAGTCCATTACAAGTCAGATCACATCCAATTGACAAAGCCAAATAACAAAGGAATGTGAAAAGCTTATTTGAATAACTCGGGACTTGACTTCAGAAAAGACAACATGTGATTCAATTCCATTGGAGTCAAAGTTGACATTGATGCCAGATCAACCTTCTAACTTTGAGTACCATGCCACCTCCAGCAAATGACATTCACCATTCTTTTAACAAAGCTCTGTTCGACTACTCACTCGCTGAGTGTCTGTGTGTATTGCAGTGACTGAGGTTTATAGTCTAGTTGAGGCTGTAGCCTTGCAATTCGGTAGGTCAGGATCACAGCTGACACAGTCAAGCAAATAATTCTGCAAAGAGGGCAGTTGGTACATTGATGGATAAATTTAATCACTTGGTGCAGCAAGTAACGACAGGAAGCGTGATAGTGTGACTGTGAGACCATACTTAAGCTCATAATAGCCTACAGAAGTGACTCCCGTAAATTTTTCATCACTAATGCTTGTCCGATTTGGAGTTATGTCATACATCCAGCACGTTTCAAGGTTACCATCACAAACTTGTGATCATGAGTAAAACAGTCTGTAAGCTTGGGCAATAAATTCTACTCACAAACAAGCGGTCAAGAGGAGGAAAAACTGTGCTGGTGTCATGGCCCTGAGTAACTTGAGCAACCTCTCCAGTGATTTGAACACGCTCATGGCAAACAGTACTGCAAGACAAAAACAGGTGCATTAAATTCTAACTTTCTAATAGCCGAAGTAAGCCTTCATCATACTGATGATATTTCATTATTAGAAACATCAGCATATTACGAGGAATAAAATGAAGCACACAAGTCAAAGCTGTCCGTTACACATCACAATTAAAATCATTAATGAAGGATGCTAGGAGAAGTGCACTAGTACCATGTCAATTACGACATCAGATTAACTTGGAAAAATGACTTGGAACTTGTGAGCTAATGTGATTCGACAAAAAAATGACTTGGCGGTGACACTGTGGCAGGTTGCAAAGCTCTGGACAAACAGGAAAAGCACTTGGCGGAGCAAACCCTGCAAATAACATGGGTCAGCTGCAGGTGAAGTCCAGACTCCAGTCCATCACAAGTCTTTCCACAAGTCCAGTTGAAAGTCCTTTCATGAGACCAGTGACCGGTAACCGGGTGAGCAATGAATGATAACGGAATTCAATAGCTTGTGACTTGGCGTAAGACTGAATGACTTGTGATTGACTTTACTTCAAGGACTTGAGATCAATGAGATTCAAAATTACGACTGGCAGGATAGAATATGACGACGTTTGCTGAAGCATGCACTCGGTGACTTACATTTACACAAATGTTGAGAGCTTCCTACGGCAAACGTGGAGTTACAATCAGCCAGAGAGGCGGTTTGGTTGTGGCTGCATGCCTGGCTACTGTTGACATCATGTTCTCTTTCTGTTTGGCACAGCACCAGAGGAAAAGCAAAAAATGGTGCATTGTAAATTTGAAGAGATGCAAGAGAAACTGTTCCCGGCCAAAAATTGCTTGGTTTAGTTGATAAGGAAATGCCCACAACTTCAAAAGAAAGACAAAATTTTGAAAGAATGCCAAAAGATTACTTGAAAATTAGTAAAAGTCACAAACATACTACATATTTCAGTATTGCCAGGGTAACCCAAGTACACTAGGTTCAAATCCCTATGGGGGCATCCAAGTAGCTTCAACGGGTTGACACATGGGTATCCCTAGGTCACTGTTGCCCTGTGGAAGCTACTCCAACGTGAACGCACTCTACAGAAGCTTGCAAACGGTCTCCTCAATATCTTCACATGTTCAAGTTCGCTTTCAAGCCTCAGGAATGCAGCCCAATCACCAGCTTCAAGCATGGGGGCCACAGTGCCAGCTTGGGGGGCACATCATCACCATAACACTAGACAATTTTAATGCTTATGGTTTTTGCCGATGGGGGCCCAGCTGCTTGCTGGGGGGGGATGGGGCTCGCCCCTCTACCCTCTTCCCCTCCCCCCTTGGCAACAAGCCAGGGGCCAATTTCATAGAGCTGCTTAAGCACAAAAAACCTTGCTTAATAAACAAAGGCTACAGCTCAAAATCTATGTGATTGTCATGCTAACCAAAAGACAGGTAAATACAATTCCAAAACAATATACATTACAAGAAGTTTTGGCTGGTAATGTGATTTGTCAAGCAAGGTTTTTCACGCTTAAACAAATTTTTCGCTTAAGCAGCACTATGAAATTGGCCCCTAGAAATTAGAAAAGTGAGTTTTGCTTACCAGGACCATCTTGACTTGTATCATCATCTTCGTCATCAAAGCCATCCTCTTCACACTGTAGTCTCTGTTCCAGCAGTTGGGAATTCCCATCCTGTTAACAAAACCACAGTGTTAACCACTACCAGCCGGGGACTCCGAAATCGGAGCCATATGGTTTATATGCGTGGCCGGGGTCTCCGAACTCGGACAAAGGAAACAGGGCCCTGTCACAAAAGACCGTACTCCGAACAAAAGACCAGGCTGCTGGGCATTACCGGCATTTTTCACTCTCAGAAGTGGTGATAATCCTGCGTTATTTTGAAACTGTATACCAGGGTTTGGGGCACTGAGAGCAGGCGGATTACCACTGGGGACAAAAGCGTTCCACCACCGCAGCATGAGCCACACAGCACCGCTGCATGCTAATCTGGCCCCTATTGAAAAGAGGTCAGCACTGCACTGAGCCAGGTTCGTGAACAAAAGACAGTTGTATAACACCACACAATCTGGGCTCTGTTTACAAGGCTGCTGGCCTGGCTGAAATATTCGGGCGTCAATGAAGGTCACTTGTCAACTTAGAGGAGTGCCTAAAGATTACTCCGTGCGGCTATAAACGACTGTTAAATGGAATGATGAATTGTTCAAGGATTGTGAAAACGGAAAAAATGATAGTCATGCCGACCCAGCATCCCCATCGTTGAAAAATGCACCGGCACGAAGTGGTTAACCAAAGTCAGATAGAAGGGTACACACAGTCATTCAAATCAGAGGTGCTTGCTTTACTCACAAGTTGTTCTTGTTGATATTGGCTGATTACGAGTAGCAACCAGACAATGAGCCGTGAATGTTGGAAGATGCTCACAGTTTCAATATGTCATTCATATGGAACTTGGTAGTGGTTTATTATCATTGCTGGTCTTAAAAGTAAAGATGTTTGATCTTTCCTTTGTAGGCTTTGCCTCATTTCGTACATCCCCCTTAGTGCCGTCACTGGGCAACATGGCACGGTATTCCATCGCCATGGGCAGCCTACCCTACATGCAACCTGAAGAGGGCAAAGACGACAATGAGCCAGACCTACCCCCCTGCCACCAGCTAAGTGGAAGTAAGGCAGTCAGTCATGTCCCTCCTATCCACTCCACCATCCCCGACTTCACTGGTATGATGCCCACTCCCTCGCTCAGCTCGTCGGAGAATGCCGGAGATGACAGCTCATCCATAAGTAGTCAGGGAGGCTCCAAGAGTACGGAAGACTCAGGAGATTTGGATGAGCTGCAGATTGCTTTTGAAGAGAAAGTGTGATATTCAGTCACACAGTTTTCAACACTGTGGCTCTGCACTCACAAGGGCAGATTTCCAAGCCAACAAATAGTGCTCAGCAATGCACATGCTTTGCAAAAAATCATAGGAGAATCATTCTTTGGGCAAACTTTACTCGATATTCTGACCTGTCAACTGTTGTAGCTGAGCAAATCTTAAAAGTTTCACACAATTCCTTGCCTTGTGACTCGTAGAAGTGGGCCAAAGGCCACAAGGTGTGAAAATGTTAACATTTATGTAGATCTGTGTTTGACAACACCATAGTGTGCTCTGGAGGGCATGTTCCTTCAATATAAATATGACCAAATGTTACTTCTGGGTACTGTTTTTCGTGTTCATTTTGAGTGCTTACACACTTTGTGAACACTTTGTGCTATTTGAGGTCAGATATTGCCCTTAATTCATGAAACCCATGTAGCCTCCAATAGAATACAGTGTGGAGAAAATGAAAAATGTGTATGCAGCAACATGTTATGAGCCAATCTCATCACTGAAGTGCCGTTTATAATCTGATGTATTTTACACAACTGAAACAGAATTTCCAATCCTTGCTGATTTTTTTTTGTGTACGGTAAGTGTGCAAAGAATCAGTTCACATCTGAGTAGCAAACATTGCAGCTGACTAGAACATTGACCTTTGCACTAACGTAGTGTGGTTGTGCTTTTACTCATCATGAAAGACGGTTACTGATCACCTGCTTGTGGTTCTCCCCTTGTGGCTTGTAATTAGAGGACAATTTTTTTATGTGCAAAAATTCTGGATGAAGCAAATATTGCCCTCATAATGTATTTGTCCTCATAGTAACTTTCCTTCAAAATATATAAGTCCCCCACAACCACGATGCTACATGTAGTATGTAATTCAGTCACAAAAATAGGAAACCAAGAATTTGGATTCCAGTTTAAATAAAGAGAGCTTATCCTCCTTGACCTTGACACACAGAAGTGACTGATTGTCTTTCGTGGGTGACAGGTAGGTTTTTGCAGAATGCCTGTACTATGTGTGCGATCGGATCGTCCTCTTGTAAAACAGTAATCACAGAAGTGAAGATCCTTCGAAATCTACCAGGTTGTGACAGATTTTGATGGATGAACTCTTCTGTCGTTACTTTACATGATGGCTTGATGCCTTCCATTAAAGTAGACGAAATGTGCCATGGATTTTTTTATGCAGATGAATATTTTGGAGGATTTAGGGAAATGTTAAATGTTGGAGAGGCAACGTGGTAAATTCTTCGGCTGAATGCCAAGATAATGGCTGGAAGTCAAACGTTGAGGAATATTGAGTGAAGTTAGTTTTAACCACTTCCTGCTGGGGAGTCTGGTTTTGGGCACCGTGTGTTTATACGCAGAGCTGGGGTGCCCGGTTTCAGACAAAAGAGCTGGTCTGTGTAACAAAAAGACTGTATTCGGAACAAAGGACCTGCTGCTGGGTACTGCCATCATTTTTTGCGTTAATTTTTTGAAGTTAATCCAGCACTGTTTTGAAACAGTATACCACTGTTTCGGGCACAGCGTGCCCGTGGATTAGCACCATGGACAAAAGTGCTCCAGGGCCACATCGATAAGCGATATGCTGCTCGCTAATCCAGCTGTGTATGAATAGAGGCTACTGGAATTCACGGGAACAAAGGAAATTATGCAATACCCAACAATTCTGGGCTCTCTTTTACAGGGCTGCAGGCCTGGGCTGAATACTCAGGCATCAATGAAGGTTAATAGACAAGAGTAGCCACCAGAAAGTTGTTTGTGTGGGTGTAAACATCCAGTAAATGAACACAGGAATTTTTGAAGAATTTTGAAAACGGAAAATCTTGAAAAGGTCCCGCCATCACATCCCACTCGAGAAATCCAACGGGCAGGTAGTGGTTAACACTGTAACCCACATGCTACGGGATGCCCTGAAGAATTGCTTGATTATGCCTTTCTTCCAAGTGTGAAACATTTGAAGTGGGTGGAACACCACTCCATTTGTTTCATTTTCACTGCCGACTGTAACTTGTGTTTTTCTTAATTGAATGAATGTGGTGATAGTTTGTTTCGAACACTTATTTTTACAGCTTGGTGCCTTTTAGAATGATGTCATAATGTATATGTGGTTAGAGGAAGACTAGGTGACTTCAAGAAAAATATAAATCAAAATAATTAGCAGAGGATTCCTCCCCCGTGATTTGATTGAAGAGACTTTTTTCAGTCCTTTGCAAGAAACTAAGCATATCACTGGCTTGGCGACAGGTTTCTTTTAATAAACGTTCTTCTTTTTTGACTGATGTGTGTGACAAATGAAGGAGATGGATTCTAAGAGCAGAATCATTGTTCAAATCTTGAAATTCATCCCACCCTCAGCAATGCTCATGTACAATCCAATTTGTGTATAAACCAAACCTGAAATTTCCAAATTTTCGCTTACAATTTAAATCGCAAAGTCTAAACTAAGGAGACACAACTACAAGCATAACATTCTTGTGTACAGAACAGTTCCAATATTTTGCACATCATTTATTATTTTTGTACAAAAGTAAAAAGGAAATAACCAATACAGAGTATTTGTATTTTTGCATGTAATCCTACAACTGCAGATGTTTATATAAAAGGAAATGAAAGCATATTCAGGAAGGGAGATGTAAATTGTAAAATCAATTGTACATTGACACTTTGCATATATTTAAACAGAGCCTACTATACTTTGTGTATACAGATAAGCAGAGATCCTTAATCAGTGGTAAATATTTTGACAGGTATAATTTAGTTTATAGATACTTGATTTTGTAATCTGTTAAGTAGTGTGTAGGTAATGTTGATCATTGTCACAATATTCAGCAAAGAAACTGGTTTTGAGGAAACAATTTTTGTGCATTCAATTAGCTCAAATGTGTCATTGAGGATTACATGTACATGAATGCATTAAGTGGGCCATGCCATGATACCCATATCTGCCCTAGGTGGTAATCACTAATAGTCCAGCTGGCTGGAGGGTCTCTAGTAGCTTCCTCAAGAAGCGTGCATAATGGAGAAAGCAAGATAGCTGATGAATTACATGATCTAAAAATACTGAGATCATGATTGGCATAGAATTAATCTGATACATGTATAGTAACTAACCTTATTCCAGTGATACGCCTATCAAAAGTTCAGAGGAACTGATTTATATTTTCTTCAGTGGGAAATGTATTTGCAAAGTTCCTACAGAACCACAGACTTCTATATGACTAACTAGACACGGTGGACTCATCACTATCTTTGTTTCTCCATGCTGTACATGTATGTGCTCATTTTTTTTCCCTCAAAAGTTTCATAGGGCAAAAATAAAAATGCAAACTGGCCCTATAAGATTATAATCACAACTTTGTTTAAATTTAGCGTTGTGCAGTTTCGGAAAACAAGAATTGGCAGAAATGTGGCTGTAAGTTATCACAGTCTGTCCAGTTATTGAGGTTGGTGTATCAGCCGAACCTATTCAGAGCTCGTAGACTGTTTCCTTTTTTTAAAAAAAGAGTGTTGTTAAGAGATCCAGACAAGCTTAATTGTTAAAAAGCTAAATTTTTAAAGAGAAGACTGGCAAGACTTGAATGTTTTTCATTTCTATGGCAGCATTTACACAAAAGTTCAGATTACTCAAAGTCATGAATAAACACCTCCATTTTCTCCTTAAATTAAACATATTCTTAGTGCATAATCAAGGTGCAACATCAGAAAAACAACTGACCACAAGATTAACATTCATGAGAATTTTTCAGTCAAATAGTCAGAGATCCTCTTACACCCAGTTTACCTTTTTCTTGGATGAATTACTGGTTATCATCCTTTACCAGATTATTTTTTCCTTGAACAGCTGTTGTATTTCAGAATTTTATATCACATAAAATGCCTTGTACTTACAGGACTTTTTTTATAAATTTAGTTTGATAATTAGTGCTGTTGAAACAAATATGTAGTGTTTCTCTGAGCACATCTGTGTCAACTTCCAATAAAGTTAACATTTAAAAAAAAGAAAATTGCCAGCACTGATCTGTTAGTTCATGTTTTGTTTTACCCAAGCATAAAAAATTTGGCTGTGAGTGCAAGCTGAAGAAATGTCTGCTCGTGGGTCATGATACAAAACTCTGTGTCAAAACCCACTCCAAAATAGGTGACAGATGGGTGGAGAGATGCTGTGCAGCAAACCCAAGCAGGATGAAACCACTTGCCTGCAGTGTGCCTGAGTTTCTCGTTACTGTAGATACAATGATAAAAACTTGCTCAAATATCTGTATTTGCAATGAAGTGCTCCAGTATCCCAGATAGTCACTTGGAAAGCTTGGCATGTTAGCTGAAAGCAGGACTGCTTTCAACTTACGTGAGACAAGCGAACTTTCGTAGGCAACTAGCATACTTGTTACCAGGTTATGGGGACATTATCTTGAACTATAGACAATTCTTATGGGGACACGTTTTTGTCCCTGTAATGTTCTAATTTTCTTAACAGAAATTGTCCCCTGAACAAAAGGAAGGCTTGCCCCCTCGTATTTATGTTAGCTACCTTGTGTAGACATTTCTTGTTTTTGTGTAGTTACGAAAACTCGGTGAATACTCAATTTTCTTGCACTCTGAACACTGAAGTTGGTTTTGTTGTTGGCTTCCTTGACTGTTCCTCTTCATTTTTCCAGAAATAACTCCAACCCCTAAATGCTTTTCCATAAAGGAGCGACACTTGTTCAGACCTGGCTTAGTCCAAACAAGATTTAAATAACCATCTTTATATTAGTCAGTTTTGTTCTCGGGTCCACACAGGATCACATGATTGGTGCAGTTGTTTTCAAGTGCCTTGAATAGATGCACATGTAGGAAAATGGCTTGAGTGCTATTGTGCTGCTTTAAGCCTTTGGCATGATGGTTCACAATCAGGAGAACTGAAAGTACGTGGAAAAATACAGTTGGCAGATTTATTGCCTTCAACCAAAAACACTTGCCAGCCAAAACAGCATATGAATTATGATTGATTACTGGCACACCTCAAAAACCTTGGAACTCCTGCTATTCAGCTCTGAAAATGCCACTTTTCCTGCTTAAAGAGGCTTGAGGGCACTGCAAGCCAATTTCATGAAGTAGATAAGCACAAAAATTGGCTTAGTGCAAAAGAATATTTACTTAGCAAGAGCACTTACCAGCCATGTTTCATACAATGAGTATTTCTCATGCTGTGTGTAACCAAGCCTACATCTGTGACCTTACAGTTGCTAGGTCCCTAATTTTGCCATTTACTGTGGATAAAACCCCAGAACTTTGCAACAGGTGGCAAATTAAGGAACGTGACAACTATGGTGTAATTCAACAACCAGAATTAGAGGTCATTACTGCAGTGGCACAATGTTCATGGACAGGTGGTACCGTGCATTACATGCCACTTCGACCAATAGAGCATCGTGATTTACCAAATGCATGTGTGCATTATGTCTAAAATTGCATGCATTAGTGCAGTGGCACCGTTATGATGGCGTCTCCTTGGATTAGCCTACATAACTGGTAACGGATTCTAGGCCTTCCTATTATGTGCTTGCTACTCAGGCTATGCCTTTAACTTTAGGCTGTGGCTTTGTGTAACTTGTTTATGGCAAGTGGCTACAGCTGTGAGCTGTTTTTGGAAGCCACAGCCAAATCTTTTGGACACATCTAAGGCTGTGTCCAAATGATGCACAAGTCTATCGTAGTGGTTGTGGCTAGTTACCATAGAGTTGTGTGTAATTTCAAGCCGTAGCCAAGTGATTTGGATGCAGCGTTATTTCAGAAACAGCCTATTCTAGATTGGCACACACAACGGAATTATTGCTTATTCTCACTGGCAACTTGGCATGCTTCATGCCAGCTTTCACAAAGGTATAGACTCCTGTGCCAACCAAAATTAGAGGCTGCGGCAGTGGCAGCAAGCTTATGGGCAGATGGTGCACACGTTGAATACTTCTTCAGCAAATAGGGCACTGCAATTTGCTTTCATGTTTGAGAACATGCACATAATGGTACCACAATGCCACTGCAGAAATGATGTCACCTTGGAATAGTTTAAATTGCCTTGTTATGAGTTTAACGGTACAGTTTGTCAGTATTTTTTTTGAAAGAGTTTCACACTTTAACAGTAACAACGGAAGACTTCTGAAACCCCGGTGGCAGCAGACATACACTTGTACTGCTCGTTTTTACCAGTTGTGCAGATAGGCGTAGTTTTGACCATGCATATACATGTACAGGTCTGAGCATGCGCAAGATCGTGGCAAAGGACTAGTATGCACACATGTAGCTGCTTCTGCCAGCGTCTCAGTGTCTCCATTGGGTATAGCAGTAACTGATCTTACCCCTTAGGGCCTGAGTAGCCGAAGTAAACACAAAGAGTCGTGTCATCCACATACAAGTCTTGATGTCCGTCTGACTCCAGATGACCATTGGTATGACAAGAAGTTTGCCCATACAACACAGAAGTAAGGACCGTAGGAGTAACGCTAACCCCCTAGGGTGTATGTAAAATCGTATTGAAATTGGAGGATTTGGGAGTTAGGGGTAATGATACACTCTTAGTAGAAACGATCATAACCTCAATCCATCAAGTTCTTACCGATGGTTCTCTAAGTGAAAATGTAGGATTTTTTCTCTGACAATAATCTGCATTCACATTGAAATGCCTCATTTTTCATTTGTGTTCTCTTTTTAAGGAGTAATTAATCACAACATTGGACAAGAGTCATTTTAAGTACATGTATAATATGCTTTGAGAAGAAATAAAAATTCACTGCAATTGAAAACATTTATTTATGAATCAAATCTATCTTGATTGGCAAGTTGAGACTCCAACTTTAAAAAACTGAAGCTCGTGTGCTCCATATGCAAGAATGGAATGGATATCATATCAAATAAATCCCATTTATTATTCATTATTATGTGCATCGTACAACAATTGGAAGCTGAATGATATGACTTGGGAATTAACAGGGATTGATTTCAGATGAATTGTGGAAGTATTCATTGTGAGACAACTTGTAACAGATGGGAAAGACGCATAAATCGTTAATTTTGGCCAGGAAAAGGAAATAAAAATATTCTCTAGAGAAATGCAGCGACGTCTTCTTCAAAAGTTTCAATATGACCCAGTTATGTCTTAACTAAGTATAACAGTGAAAGTGAATCGATGTACATGTATAGATCCATTGTAATTTATAGCATCAAAATCGAAACCAGTGAAATGGCACATAAACAAGGATGGTACTTGACAGGAGGTAACCCCCCCCCAAAGAACTCTTTGGGAAAAAATAACTTATGGCAGTGTTGGCATGCCGTGCACTCTATAGAACTATATACCAGATGCAGTCAGACAAAATAAAAATTTCACAGCTGTGCTTATAGGTCAGTGGCTAGATACAACAATATGAGTAACATTTGATTTTCTAGTCATGACTCAGAATGCTAATATGTTAACACAACCTGTCAATCTGCTTATTCTCGGTTTCTCTCCTAACAAAATGTATGAGATCTGTGCTTTGCCCTCCCTGGGAGAGCATACATGATGGTCAAAATCTTTGTCTTGATGCAACGGGAATAAATTGAGCTGAAGTTCCTAGTGTTCTACTTCCACACACACCTGTTGTCTTGAGCTCCCGTCATTCTTGACTGAAGAATTATTGGCACCACAACACCAAGGAGAAAGGAACTCAGCTCTGATGCAGAAAAAAAAAGGTAAAGGAGTTCCAGGAATCAGGGTAAGTGCACAAATCAAACACACTTTGTATGTTGTGACTGGATATAAATAACAGTGGAGTGCATCACAAGTCCTTTCACAAGACCAGTTATGAGTGAACAATGCCATGGTTGTTTTAGTTCTGGAAGTTTTTCCCATCATTGCTTATGACTTGACTTGAGACTGGACGGTTTAAGATTTACTTGCAGAGACTCGTGATGGACTAGACTACAATACTGATAAATAATATAGAATTTGTATTCGACTTTTTGTAATGGCTTGGTGATACAAAGAAAATGCATATGTGGTACAAGACTGGGGTATATTCAATCAATAAGGAAATGTGGCTCCATGAATCAGAAACAGAGAAATTGAGTCATTAGGGGATGATGGTTGGACATGAATAGACTTGGTGGAACTAGTACAGTTGAAATACATGTATGTGACTGTTTATTGTATTGTACTTATCGTACCAGATTTTCGATAGCCTTTACTTAAAATTCAAACAAATTGAAGGTTCTATTAAACAAACCATGTAGGAAAACTGACAAGATGCATACACAGTAATGATAAAGATTAACAAAGAAATTAACTGGAGTGGGATTTGAACCTGTCACCTCTGGAATACCCTTCCAGTGTTCTCTCAACTGAGCTATCAGTCAGTGTATTGATGGCCCCTCACAGACTCAAATCTGCTCTAGTCAGTCTCGCTTTTCTTTCCTCCACTTTATTTCCCCTTTCTGATGGGGGTGAGGGGTTTTAAGTCATGAAGGATCTAGGTCATAGACAGTGTTAAACATCAACTTCAGTAGAAGCAAAACAAACCACACCACATCAGGTCACGGTGAAACTACGGTATGTAGGGCTGCAGCTTTTATCAATAGTGTGTTTTGATAAACCGACATAGCGACTGTTATCCCCTACCTCCCTTTTGTTTTTTTTTGTTTCTTTCATTTTTGTCTTTATCCCCTGTTTATTTTTCTTTCTTTCTTTTTGAGAGACCAACTGCCCCTCAACTGTACTTCTCCCCCATGACACCTATGAACATAAGTGAAAACAACAATATTTGATTTGGACAGAACCTCACATCGCATTAGACTGCACTCAAAGAGTTTGCTGGAAATGTCCATGTATGTGTATGATGTCATTGTGAATAATATCATTGACCGAGGGACCCACCGAGTCCTGCAATGATGAACATGACATAGAAGTGCCATTGCAGGGCAAAGAAGAGGAACTGTCGATCGAGGGGGTCAGTGGCTGGGTTAACCGTTGAACGCTGCGCCCATTTGGTGTAAGCGTCACACAAAAGACAAAGAATGCTCAACTTCCAATGTATCTGTAGATCAAATGGAAACAAGCGGGACAGTGCTCAACCTTTAAAGTGTATCTGCAATGAATTTTTTTCTCCAATGTATGAAGACTCTTTTACTTTCCTATTTGGTTAAATGCATAGAAAAATGCATATGCAAACAATTAAAAACAATTAAAGTTTTAGAATTAAATTGAAGTCATTTGAAGAAGACATATTTCAGTGCATGGGCTTTTCTGTTCAAATTATGAACCCAGAATTTACTTACTGAAAACATTTCTGAGGAAGGCACATAAATAATGAATCAGCAAAGAAGAGAAAACTGAGTCCAGTAAAATCAAATCAAAAATACAGGATTTTTTGTGTACAAACCAATGTAACATTGAGGCTTCTTCCTGAGATGACATCACAGTTTTCTCATGAATATTGGAAATCTCATTAGCATAAAAAGCAGTAAAATACCCTTAGAAACAGTGAAAAAAAATAAGTTGAAAATAAGGTTAACTGAGCACAAAGGTGCACTTTGAAGGTCTGTATTAAAACAAATTGATTGCAGCTGCCTTTTAAAAAAGTAACTTATATTCCAGAAGTACCGGTACACAGAGTGTTTCATTAGCATTAAGAAGAGTTGTGATATACATGAATTACTCACATGGGGTGTGATATCCCTTGAACGCTGTAAAACAAGGAATGCGTTCCTTGCTTTCTATGCAGTGGAAGGGCAGTCAGTCAAGGGAATTAGGGTTAAAAGGTCAAAAGAGAGTGTGGTGAACAAATCGATTAATGAAGGTCGTAACAACTCACATTACTCTTGGTGTTAAACAAGATGTGTCTGTAGGCCTGTGGCTTGTACAGCAGCGCATCAAGAAGAACAATGACTGGATCAAACTCAACGTACTTGTCAACAACTTTGGTACAATGATTCTGGAGGGATGGAAAGTTTGACTAATTGACTACATGTACATAGGAACAACAGAATATCCTATGTAAAAACCAGCACTGATCTAGTCAACTAGGCACTACACATATTATTTTACCAATTGAATTGTGGTCATTGTCAACAAAAGCCTTTTTGATTTTCTGTAGAACCTGGTTCCACTGAAAATAAAAAATTAGTGAAAAAATCACAGAAAAGAAATACCACAAACCAGTTTGGAGATCATCTTCACAGGGACACTAATGAGAATACAAAGTGCTTATGCTTCAGGTTCAGTATGTAAATGTACAAGTAGACCTGTAAAGCTCTCTGACTTTCTGTAATGAATAGTGTAACCAACTGCTTCTTACGCTTGGTATTATTGTTGGCAATCATGGTATCCGAGACACTAAAAGTGTATTCTCCAACTTATATGCAACAGGAAAAAAGAAAAGAAAAGATATACAGTAAAAGTGGGTTTTTTTGGGGGGGGGGAGGTGCCATGAACATTAGAAGCTAATATCTGACCAACTTTGAAATGTTCTGCATTTACCAAGAGCTTTAAGCTACATGTGAGAAAGTAGTATCAGAATAATATATTCAAATAGGAACATTTTGCTTTGAAATCTTGTCTAGGCACACATTCACTTGTGTGAAAAACCCATGTAAACGGCAGGGGATATCAGAATTTTCCAAGGCCAGATTTAAGTTTAATATTTTGTCTATCCTGGAGCCAATTACTGAGTTTGGAAATTGAACAACAGATTTATTAAATGCCTCCTTAATCTGTATGTTATGCCAAATAGATAAAGGAAAGCCAGTTAATATTAAAGCAAAGTTGTAGGGCTACACAACCATAACAATTCTTCAAGTGTATGCAGACAATGTTGAGAGTGGTGTAGAGTTGGAAGTGCCACAGATTTCAACCAAGATAGCATCTTTCAGACAGAGAGAGAAAGAACTCTGAATTTGAATAGGACAGAAGTTGAATTACATTTTTCCCTCAACCTATCCCCTGAGTTGTGCAAAAAATTATATTGAAACTCTAGGACTGTGAGGGTTGAAAAACATGTAAAAATCTTGCAGGGGCACAAGCTGAGGCCAGGAATGAGGGCAAGATTGGGACAAACATGTAATAAGAATATCCATTGAAAAAACTTTTTTTTAGAATTTGCAATGCGTCATGGGATTAGGATAACAAACAAGGAATGCATTTATGCACAGCGCTATGGAAGAAGTGTACCTGCTAAAACAATACTATTTTTCCACTTTATCACGTACTCACAATCAAGCCATCCTCTTTTGACAAAGTGCTGCATTGTAGATTTGGGATAAAAACAAGGAAGGAGTTCCATACATGTATACGGACATCACTTGACACCCTGTGCACAAACCCCATGAGACTGTGAGAGTGTTTTCTAAGTAAATGTTTTAATATTTCCACTGTTAACTGTGACTTTTTAGTACATGTTCAAATATTTTAATGGCCAATAAACCACTGCAAGGGGAAATTAAGGATGTCCCTATGGACCTCTTAATGAATAACATTTTAGAGCTTACATACCAGAAATAAATTTGGGGAATCCTTTCCTGGAACATCAGTTCGTGTCTTAAACTAAGACTAAGATTGTAAGTTTCTGAACATGAGCTAAAATTGGCCAATCAGAATAAGGACTAGAAGCTCATTCGTCCTGCATTGGCCAATCACGTTCATTTTTTAGACTGCTAGGCTAGTGCCTTTTAATTTAAAAAGGACAACAGGATTTTTTTTTCTAACAAACTTTTGAAAATTATTTCATATTTTGAAAATATTTCAAGTATTTCTGCTCAAGTGCAGAATACCTGTATGTATACTATACATGTACATGTAGGCCTACATGTACATCCATATCCGACTTGAGGAGCATGAAAACACAATAGGCCTACAAGTACATGTAATGGAGTAAATGTGAATTATCGATCGAACGCTTTATCTTGGCATCAAATATGCCTGAAATTTCACTGGTTATTGTGCTAGGCCTATGACATGTACATAGGCCTATGAACTGTGGGCCACACTGTGCTGAAAAGGTTTCAGTTATT